CTTTGTGTCCATCGGTAATCCCATCCGAGGGGGAAAATGCTAATCCTCCCTCCGTGGGTTCCACAACGCTGCTCCGAACTTCTGAGATCAGGTGCTTGTCTCCGGGAGGGTTATAAGCCCCACGGATTATCGCCGAGGAACAAAATGGCTGGTGGTTTGTCGGCGAGTGGTATTACAAAGGGTGGCATCACCCTAGCAAAGCGCACATGAAGGCTCCCTAGTCGGCTGTCTTGAAGGAACTGAACGAGCGCTTTCGTGGCTCACACTGAATGTTCTGTGCACTGCCACCAACTCAACGCCTTGTCACAGGAAAAAGGTATGTTGTCGAAGCTCTGTACTGTCCTTTAAAGGTCTTCTGGTTCCGTGGCATAGATGACACAGTCACAGATTATGTGACTTACGGTTTCTGAGACATCGCAGACTGAGCAACGGGGGCTGTTTCTTTTAATACGGCGCAGGAAGTAACAACTGTTTAGTGGCACATACAAGCACTAGGCATGAAAAAACATGCTGATGGATGAAATGCAGTATGGACTGCCGTGAATGGTCATTTTAGTTATGAAATAAAATGTAAACCAAATCGTATATTCTACTAAAATAATGTTAAATAATCTTCAGCACACAAATTGGTGTTTCATTCAAGCTCTAAAGGTTATAATAAAGCAAAAAAATTCTTAAAATAAAAAAGTTTCTGTCATTAAATTAAGAAAATTAATGACATTTTGTATGTAGGACCTTATAATAACAGAGATCGGCATATAACCGATAAGTATGCCTTCTTAAAACAATCCAGCCAAAGTCGTCAAGGTCATTACCAAGCTTCCTTCTGCTGCTTCACCTAATTTAGATTTAATTTATTCTATTGGCTTTAGCTCGAACGGATAAAACATGTGTAAAGGTGATGACTAAATAGCGGAGTATATAATTTCCTGTTGAGAACCCTCGCTAAATCCCGAATTTGAAATATATATCGCCAGAATACCGCAGTCTATCATACAGAATAGCCGCAGTTATATTCAGAAATTTTTTACTACAACTAAGAACTGTTACATTAACACGCACGAGGTTCAATATACCCGACGCTGCGTGTTTAACGTCCCCCTCTGGGGGAATGCATTCCCTTTAACACTCGAATTCACTGCGGTGAAGCAACATAAGCAAAACTGCGCGGCTTACTTCGCGGTTGCCGCTTCCCTGCAGTGCACGAGAGCTCGGTGAGAAGCGCACTTAACAAATCTCACGCCAGGGTAAACTTTAGTTCGTCTCACCTTAGCATGAACTATATTGTTAGCCGCGCAAGCTAAAAACGCGAGCTAGTTGCTTTGCATGAAGCCTCGGCGGTTGCACGAGCGCTCGTGCATCAGTCAAGGCAGTCGAGGCTAGCCGCTCGCGCTTGCACACCTTCGCATTAGTCCATACTAAGGTGAGACGAAGTATAGGGAGTATTCACTAGACACCATCTTTGTGGGTGCTCTTTAGAGCGCATGCTCAGAACGATCTCACATCAATAGGCTGCGAAGACCGGCACTCTTGATGGTGCGGAATGCACGTTGCAAAAGGACTGTGGAAGCTCGCCATCAGCACGCGCTCAGCATTAGCGCACACAGATATGGCCGCCAGTGAATAACCCCCTGTAGGAACATAAAGCCGGGGTCACAGAAAAGACACTCTGCAAACACGAGTCACCGCAATATCCGTGATTCGAATGCCGCGTGCCAGGTTTCCTCCTTAAACTCCTCATTGTCTTGCGGCATTCGAAGCACGGACCTTGCGGCGACTCGCGTTCGAATCTGTATGCAGATCTGCATACAGATTCTAAGATTCGAATGGTGTACAAGCAGTGCGACCCCGGGCCACGTGAGCGATCAAAAGCGTCGCTGTGGTCGGCCTGCCACGATTGGCCGAATACTGACAATGACGCCAGCAAAGGATATGTAAGAACTTCGATTTTGACGTTGTTGGCAGTGTTGTTCCCAGAGCGCAATAACTTCAAGCTTCCACCATGCTAACTACAAACACCATCGGATTTGTTGTTCGCAAGCTAATGACGTCAGGAGAGGAAACCATTCGAAGGCGCCACCAAGACATCTCGCCGCCAATTGCGAAAATTCCGAGTACCGTGAATGCTTGGCAACTGACAGAGATAAAATAGGATTGCACGTTATTTGCGGCTAAAATCGAAAGTTCTCAAAATTCGCGTAAGCCTACCATAAGGATACAAACGTGTAGCGGGGCCTGAGTCATTATTAGCCATGTATTTTCAGTAATTATAAAATGAAATCAAGTCTTGGCCCAATGTTGGCCCAAGTTTCTCGCATTTGGGCTAAGGGAAACTGCGCGGATAAAATCTCTAGGCAATTGTATGAGTCAGCTAGGTTTCGCTACAGTTTGGAAGCAATTAAACGAACATTTTAAAAATGTAAAGACGCACTTCCTTCGTTTTTTCATTATTTTGTGTTTCAAGGAGTGATCAAGGAACCCATGTTCGAAATAATTTTAATAAACTTTCTTGTTTTTTTGTTTTTTTTTTCCTTCGAGTTTCGGTGTTTTTATTTGTTTGTTTTGTTTCGTTTTCTACGATGTGCCGGGGTGAAGGGCGTTTCGGTTGTTTCTTAGGAAAAAAAAAAAGGGGTGGGGGGTGTATTAGGTGGAGGTGTCTTTTGTATTAGAAGTGGGAGCAGCGCGAGCCCATTCAGGCACCGATCCAACCCCAAGCCAAGCCCCCCCCCCCCCCCCCCCCCCCCCCTTCCCCCTTCGGCAAGTGTCTGAACCAGCATTGTATTATGGAGATTGAGATTGTGGCACTTGGACTGCATTGACTTCATCCTTTTGTGTCGGGGGTGATGATCTCGAGTTTTAGACTACATAAAGAGGTGAATTAAATAAACGAAGTTGAACGTGAGCGCGAGGCTTGTTACAGAAATAATCAACAAAAAGGACGGACAAGAACATCGTCCAGTCTATTTTGTGCCCCTTCTACGTTTCGATATTTCTCTCCTATCCCAGTCTCGGGTCAATTCAACGCGGTTATGCATGCACCCAGCTCGCCCGCACCTTTACTATATTTTCTCTGCACGTCACGTATGACCACGTGCGTGCTTCGCTGCAGTCGAGGTTCCCACTCGTTCCACATTGCACCAAAACTGAGCACGAGAACAACGTCGGCATCTTCGGAACTGTCACCTCTGCAAACGTCGCGTGTGTCACCGAAGTCGGGACAGACACAGCGGCCACTGTGCAGATGTGTTTTGTGCCGCGTCGGCGTTCATCTTAGCCCATTGATGCCAGGGTGCTTCGCTCGGCGTGTCTTCTGAGCGTCTGTCACCTTGCCTTTCGCTTCAGTGCGACGCTGGCTCGACAAAAATACAGCAGCCGGCTGGTTCGGATCAGCTCGGACATTCATACCCCGATCCACTTTGCCAAACAAGCAGCGAAGAAAGTGCCTAGTCACGCCGATCGTCGCTTTTGTGCGTTTTCTATCACCCGGCACGCACAGTGATTGCGCCGAGACCGAGTTATGGGACGCAGAAATTGAGATAAAACTCGGGCGTAGTGGGTGGTGTTGGAGCTCATTGGTTGCGAGAGTGAGCGGCTGCTCCCTCAGTGTGTTATCGGTGCAGCTCAAACATTAGAAGCGTTCTGAAATTTATTTGATCCGAATGGAGCCGACAACACCGCAGGTCGTTCGGTACGACGCTCATAGTCTCATACAGACAGCAATCTTGAAACTACATCTTTTCACGGTCCCTCTAGCGATTGTATACTCTAAGGAGTGCCGTGTATACTGACCAAGTTGCCTGCTAACCAAAATGAAGCTATCAGGAGTTCTCTTGTCTGCAGAACATCGGCGTCGGAGCTTTTTCAGGCAGGTTCGCATAGTAGCAGTGCCACATAGGGATGGAATGGTGCTCTCCCAACATTTTAGCGACACATAAAAGAGGCCATCGTGTGAATGTTTGGTGTCGTTAATAATTTTGTTAGATTCAACTGACTGAGTTCAAGAAAGCCGTTACCCTTTTTCTATCTAGGTGGGCCCCGGTCCATTTGAATCCTGGAAAATCCGGCCCTAGTAACTTTGTGCGATCCCCGATGGACACGAAAAAAAAAAAAGTAATAAAGTTTATTCGCGCACAACTAGTTCAGCTTTCCTGTCGAAAGCCCCGATTCTTCTCACGACTAGTCTCAATCCCGCAGATTTTCGCCAGCTTTCCACGCCCCCCGAAACGGATCCGTTTGAGCGTTCGGTTCCTCGCAGCAGGCAATGCAAATGCCGAGACGGCCTTGGCAGCGGCTCTCCAGAGCACGAAGACGGGCGCACAAACATCCCGGAGAGATGGAAATTCCGATCTCGGGGATTCCGATGTCCCGCGGCATCAGAGCGCACCGAGAGCAACAGCAACAGGCGCTCACGACCTTGTGCGAGGGACTGTGCCGCCACGGCCGTGACAGCTCGCTTTCTCCCCACGGAACACGATGAAAACGGCGGCGAAAAAGCAGATAGCCCCGGCGCTCTGCTAGCACGATGCCGAGCACGCCCGCGCCGCCCGCCAGCCTTTAAAATTTCTTCCCTTCTTTTCTTTTTTGCTTTTTGTATTTATCTACGTTGGTCGGCCACAAAGGGGTTTGAAAGGGAAGCAAGCCGGTTGACTATAAAGGGACAGCGGAAGGGCGACAGTTTGGGAAGGAAGTTCGCAAAAGTATGAACGGGACAGCATTGGTTTGATCGCTTCATTTTTTTTCCCTAGTTTGATATCGTACATTGACATCGGCAGTCAAACAAACGCACCAAGCATGGAAGGAGGTGAAACGAGCGGCAAAGGCGAGCGTCTTGGGAACAACCTCGTCGGATCTGCCGCGCGGAGGGAAGTCAATCAAAAGAAGCCGCACAAAAGTGGGCACCCCAGCCGGGTTGGGCCGGCCGTCCCGTTGCGACACCACCCGCGGTCGGTGCGGCGGCGACCCACAGCGAGACCGCGAAAAAGCAAAGACAGCGCACAGACCTGAGACATCTGCGGGCGCAGGCTCATCTCCTTGAGGTCGACGCATCCCGGCAGCAGCTTGTTGAGGAGCTGGCAGAGCAGCACCCCGTCCCTAAGCGTGTTGGCCAAGTCGATGAGCTGAGCGGTGCCCCAAGTGACGCGGTGGTCCGGCGGCAGGGCCTGGCAGCGCACCAGCCAGTCGGCACAGTCCCGCCACAACACGTCGGCCATGCCCGACGAACACACCGCCGCACGGACGTCCAGGAGGGACACGATCAACACGGACACACGCGCACGACAACACACACGGCGTATCAGGAAACGGGCGACCGCGCGCTAGAGCGCCAACTCGGCGCCGACATCTTTGCTTGGCAGGCAAGCCCAGGCGGTACTCCGTCTGTTTGCCGGAGACGGAGGAGCAACACTCGCGCTCTCGGGCACTCCCTTTCTTTTTGATTATGTTTTTGGGCCCGTTGGGTTCCGTGGGAAGCAGCGAGAGCCGAAGCGCTGCCCTCCAGTGAGGGGTCCCACAACCAGAATGCCCCCCTCCGCCGTTGTTACCCTCCTCACCTCCTTTTTCCTCTTTCTCGGGCGGGAGTGCTTTGATGTTTAGCTTTGAGCGGCGCGCCGCAGAAACCGGCTGGGACTGTAGCGCCACTCCGAGGGAAGCGGATCAACTAAGCGCTCATCTGTAGTTTCGGTTTCACTGCGGATTTTTGCGTCGGAATCGGGGCGAAGGCAGGCAACAAATCCGGTGCACCGCGAATTTTAGAAGCGTCTACACGAGTACGTATTAAAGGGATTTGTTGCACTGACCAGATGACGTCAGTCATACCGTGACGTCACGTCACGTGACAAAGGTTGACACCACGGCCGCATCATTGTGACACGTGACGTCACAATTTAGCGGGAAAATATATCCGTTTAATTGCAAAAATTAAACATGAAAAAAAAACATTTTTTTTTCACATTTTAACATGGCAATTGTAATACCAAAACGGCCTACACGTATTAAAATTATTATTCAATTAGCAAGATGATTCACCTTTTATTTCAATTTCAATAAGAATAACCTACAAACCTCCGTCAAATAAAAACTAAACGCAGTTGGGAGTACTTTGATCAGTGATGTGATTGGCCAAAGCCATTTTGGAGCAGCCAAAAGAGTGTTTTTGAGCAGCAAATGTGGCCTTTAGAGCAACCAAAACAGTGTTTTGGAGCAGCAAAAGTGTTTTTTTGGAGCAGCCAAGACAGTGTTTCGGAGCAGCAAAAGTGGCTTTTAGAGCAGATATTGTTAGAATAATAAAAATATTCGTTTGGAGTGCTGTACAAACGAAGGGCACTTTGTGTTGTGTTTTGACGTGACGTGTTCTGACGGAACTGACTGCTTTTTTACTGCTGAGAGATCCCAGAAGTGTACAGTGCTTTAGTCATTGCCTGGGAATTCCGAAAAACCGCTCGCCACCGTTTTACTGGTTGCCAATGTGTCAGATTTTCGTCAAGAGTAAGCAAACGTAAAACAATGGATTGCAAGCGTCCCGGCTGGTGCTTCTTTTGTGTAACCATATTCGCATGCACGTAAGGGCAACTTCGGCAGGCTTGCAGTTGCGCGTGCGTCGTCGCGCAAGCGGAGACAATAGCTGTTCGATCGAAACCATGCCACTCCGCTCCGTCGCCAACTGATTCCCAAAATTGTATGCAAAATATAGCTATGGAGCATACGAGGAAAAAAAAAAAAAAAAAAAAAAGTTTATTAGCACGTTTGCTAGGCCAGCAAACAAGGTACAAGTTAAAACAAAAAAACATTATATATATATATATATATATATATATATATATATATATATATATTTATTTTAAATATGCGAGACGAGACCCACGAGACGACGAGAGCGTGAAACGCAAGGCGGGAAAACCATGCGAGACTGGATGGTCTAGGGTGCCTCAATGTCCTTCTGTTTAGGGTGATGCCATCCTTTATAGTACCCGATGCCGACAGCACGCGCTCACGGGTAAAATACCAAGAAATTGACGAAAACAAAATGTCGCCATAGCACAGTCAGCGCCACAAACGCGTGCAGAGACACGCTCTTTCACGCGCTTCTGAACAAAAAATAAAAATAAAAGTGTGGGACAAAATGGCGAGATGTCTCCACCCAAAGCAAAGCGCACACAAAGCCACCCTAGGATGGACAATTGATGCAGGGTACTTAGTGTCGGGCGGCCGCTTGCGCCACATGACACACGCATGGTCAATTTCGGTACTTAGTTTAGTTTCGGTTTTGAAAGGCAACCGGTCTTTTGGCGCAGATAATCTATATCTTGGCAAAATCTAGCAGGATGTAGCAAGGTTAGCCCCTTGGCGCAGTTTGGCGCAATTGGCACAGCAATCACATCACTGCTTTAATTAATAACGAAGGCACTAACATGAGAACATCCACGTAATCCAGAGTGCAAGTGTCAACCGGGGACCGTCTTAATGAAGATAAACCCAGGGAGTATGTCTCTGGGTTTTGTAGTTATGACCAAAAAGTTTCCCTGGTTATTTGCATCACGAGTTTAAATACACATATTTTCAATCCCAGACCTATAGAACCTCAAAATCCATAAGGCAAAAAAAAGAAAAAAAAAAAAAAAAGAAAAAGGAGTAGAAAATTAACCGTGCTTATTTCATGACTAGCTGAAATGCAACAATACTTGAAAATGAGCAACAAAGTTCTGCTTAGTACTTACACAGCATACAGTGATGCGAGTGACCAGAGCACAAGCACACACTTCATACACACATTCATACCACAGTAAATATTGAATGTTAAGATCTGTGCGTTGGCCTATCCAACTGAAAAACGTGCATGTTTTGCCTTCCCACTTCTGTGCAACGGCCGGTTTGATTTCCTTAAACACACGACTAGCTGTTTAGTTGCACATCAAAGCACTAGGCATGGCAACAAGGTGCTGATCGATGAAGGTCAGTATGGACAGCTGTGAATGGTCATTTTAGTTATGAAATAAAATGTAAACCAAATAGAATATTTAACTAAAATAATGTTTGAATGATCTTGAGCACACAAATTGATGTTTTATTCAGGTTCTAAGGGTTCTAATAAAACAAAAAACAAAAATTAATTCAAATTGAAGAAAAACTTTTGTCATTAACTTACGAAAATCAATGACATTTTGTATGTTAAACCTCATAGCCACAGAGATTGGAACGTGATCCATAAGAATCCAGTCAATGTTGTCAAGGTTATTCTCAATTGAGCTTCCTTCAACTGCATCACCTAATTTAGTTTCAATTTATTTTGTTGACTGTACCTGGAACGGATAAAACATATATAAATTTGACAACTAAACAATGGAGTTCAAATAAAAATGAGCCTAGAGAGCGTTAATATAGTTTTCTTCTGAGTACCACCCCAATATCCCAAATTTTAATATTGCCAGAATACCACAGACTATCATAAATAATAGTCCCAGTTTAATTCAGAAACTTTTACTGCAACTAAGAGCTGTAGCATCAACAATCACGAAGTTCCCTTTTTTTACGCTAGCGTGTTTCAGATCCTGCTCTGGGTGAATGCTTTCCCTTTAGTACTTGGATGCACTGCAGTCAAGCAAGATAAGCAAACTTGCAATGCTTACTTCAAGATTGTCGCTTTCTTGCAGTACACAAGAGTGCGGTGAGAAGGGCACTCAACAAAGCTGACTTACATGAGAGAGCAGACTAGAAACATAAAAGATATTAAAAAAAATTCAGAGTACTGTCAGTGCTTGTCACTGACAGAGATAAAATAGGACAAGACATCATTTGTGGTTCAACTCTAAAGTTCCGAAAATTTGCACAAGCCTACCATAATGATCCAGATGTGTAATGCGGCCTGAGCTATTATATTTTAGTATTAATAAAGTGTAATCAAGTTTTGGTGCAATGTTGGTGCAAGTTCCTCACATTTAGGATAAATGTAAAAGGACATAACAAAAGGAAATAAGCCCTTTGGTGCAGTTTGGCGAAAAACGTGCCGCAATCACATCACTCAGCATAGTATATGAGCAAAACACTTTCTACATTTGCTGAAGCTTACAACCCCAATAACTCTAGTGTACTAGAAAAGATATCAATGCAACCCACGAAAAGTTGAGGTTGCTTTCAAGGTCACTTGAGCAATATTAGGGAAAAATTAATTTTTATAAATATGACGCCATACATACAAGTCAGAAAGGAAAAGAAGGAATATTGTCATTTGAAAAAGACGGCTCAGTACTACTTTGTGTGAGGCAACAAATAAACAAACAAACAAAAAAAATATGGGGACACAAACATTGTGTGCCCCAGAAGTGAGCCTCTACAGAATAAAATGACACCCTTTCGCAATGCCCATATTTGAAATGCAGGTGGCTGCACGATGCAAGAGTGACAATGCAGAGAACACATAACAGGCAGCAGGGTCAGTCCTCCCTTCCAGGATGAACGGTTTCTGATATCTGAAAAGGACAAGAATACCAGACAATCTGTCACTGCTCCAGAATACAACTTGGAGTGCCTACAAAAAGGCATACAGGATGTCTAGCAAATTATTATATTGAAATTCCCTGACTTTTCCAGGTTTTACCTGACAATTTCAGGCGAAATTCCCCGACTACTGTAGAAGCGGTTAAATTTATAAGACCATTACAACACAAGGAATTGAGCATAAAGCACTGTGAGGATCATTTTGCACGGGCTTAATCCAACTCGCATATTCCGAAATATTCGCGTTCGTCTGGTCCGGATTATTTTGATTAGTTTTTTCGTTATTTTGATTAGTTGACGTGATTTCGTTTTTATAGCGCCATGAAATATTACCATATTAAACTTTATTTTTTATTTTAAAATACACATTATCTGTACAGCTCGTTGCTTACTTCTTGAATAATTTGCATCCAACCGAACGCTCACGTAAAATATTGTGGACGATAGGACGTTATAACTCGAGAAATCCTTTTTTCAATATTAGAGACTGTGGTCTATTAAAATCTGAATAGTTAACTAACAACTAAACATAATCGTAATATCGAGACATTAAAATATTGTTGAAAAACAGCTCTTTAATTTGACATTAACTTTATAATTGCATGATACATAGAAAGAAAGTTATAAGCCGTCAAAAAAGCACCAAAATGTCATGCACGGTGGGGTTGCACCTTAAGCAGGGCACACTTGAGCTATGAAAACGGGCACCACGCAGAAATTTCCATAGAAACTTGTGCGGACACTGTGAAGTGGCGGCACGTCAAGGATTTACGTCAGAGTGGCCACGCAAGTTGCTATGAAAACTGCCGCGCGGTGCCCCGCTTAATCGCTCATGTGCCCCCTGCTTAATAGTTCACTTTTCTTTCTTTATTTATTTGTTTGTTTTCCCTCGGGCAGAGCCCAAAAGGAGGGCCAGTGTGAAAGGCCTTTAAAAAAGCCTGACGTGGCACCAATCCCTAACAGTCCACAAAAAATTATCATATTAGACAACTTCTTGGCCTGAAGAACAAACTTTTGTTTTGAGTCGTCATGTGCTGTCTGAACAGTCCACAACAAACAACATTTTTTAGGGATAAATAAACTTATGTCATACATTTCACAAATATTTCATGTGTGACATACTCGCTTATGATCAGTAGGCCTATGTAGAGGAAACAATCAAATATCTGTTTTGTATGTGTGGCCATTCATATGGCAAATCATACTTTTATCTTCCATCATATTTAGATGAATTTCTGATTTCAAACAAAATTTGTGGCTTCCTGGAGTTTAAATTAATGAGAGTCTACTGTAGCCCTGCCATACAGATCACCACAAGAATGGCTGCACAAGAGACCAGCCTGCCTTACCAGTTCATAAACGGGCAACTTAGCAGAACTGGTTTCCAGGTCTTTGTCGTTGCAGATTTTCCTGAAGATGGCGATCTGGCTGCAGTGGCCTATTCCAGGGAATTCCCCTGACGGGGCATCGCCAACGCCTGTGTACTCCACAGAGTACCCGGGGTATGCATCCAGGATGCCGCTACACCTGGGTACCAGTCGCACAAGATGCACAAAAATGCAAGGACACAAAAAGAAAGCCGCAAATCAAGTTACTGTCTAGCTATGGGTGGCTAGACGGACATAAAGAAAAGAGCCATTTTAAATGAAGAGCCACAACAAAAAGAAGGCGTGGCTTTTTTTTTTTAATTTCTAGGGCTGGGCATTGATTAAAAGTTTTAACCTGATTAATTGCCGTCCTTTAATCGATTAATCCATAGATTAATCAGTCTTGGTCATTTTCAAGCATATTATTTAAAAAAAAAATCAAATTTATGTGTTTCTTTTTTTTTTTTCTTTTGCTGAATTTGTGGGTAGGGGCACCATATAAAATTTTAAAAATGAATCAACCTTGATGTGTGGTTCAAAACATGTTCAAAGGCACTTGCACTTGCAAATCATTATCATATTTATTCGAGTAATAGCCGCACTGTTTATGAAGAAAACCTGAGGGCTTGCTTTACCGTAGAGCATGTGGCTTGCCAATCCCCGTGATCGGCAGCATGATTCCAGCGGTTTACAGGACAGAGATAACGTCTACGTGCAAAGATACCATCTGTGAAGATTGCATTTGTATGGAGAATCTTGTACTCGATATAGTTATTCGCTATATTATTTATGCGCAACGCGATCATTGGCTGTATATGTGTTCTGTGGGAAGGCGGACACAAGGGCCTTGTTCATAAATTGTGCCTGTGCTAAATAAATGCTCGAGTAAATACGGTACTTCAGCAGCGTGCGGCAAAGAGGTTCGTTGATATTCTCCGGCAAGAGCAACCTCGTTTGATTGTTCACAATAGTCTTAGCTGCGCTAAACGGACACTCGAACGACGTTGGAGTGGCCGGGACAGGTGCGACCTTCTGCGCTCGTCAGGAGTTGCAAATCTTGCCCCCACATTTTACTTTAGGCTAAAATTTTACCTAAACTTTGCCCATCATATAGGTGTACTTGTCCGTCTGCATGGTGAAAGCATGTAATTCTACTTTCTTTTGGTTTGTCAAAATTTTACATTAACCGGTTAAAAAAGATAATCATGATTAAAGGCTTAATTGATTAATCGGTAGGTTAATCAATCAATTGCCCAGCCCTAACAATTTCATTCATTTTAGTGGTGGCCACAGTGATTTCCACTCATTAAGCAATTGCTAATTATGCCACTGACCCTGATGTAATTTATCCAGTTGGTCCGACGTGTGCATGGTGGCATGAGGCTATCAGAACGCAAGCTATCTTTTTATCATATCTTACCTTCTGATCTAATGGGGGGTGAACGGCTAGGGTGGGTATGCTTAACGGGGAGCCGCGAGCCACACTTCAACCCGCAAAGAATTGCATGCGGCTTGCCCTGGTCTTGATCGAGGGCTAACAAACTCAACCCCAAAAGTTTGGTCTTAATGCATGCCCGATTCGACATGCATATACCTACCTTTCTTCACCACTAGTGAGTAAGTACTGTACAATCTTTGTGTGCAATGCTTGCAACACAGATTAACAACCTGTCCAAAGCTAGAATGCATGAAACCGCTGCAGTAATTTTTCATTCTCTTCCATTTTGTGTTTCAGGTTAGTCACTGCACAATTTTTTCTAGAGGCAACCTGTTTATGCCAGAAACAAAGAATTACTATTGATTCCTCCACCTCAGCCTCCTCCGATTGTGGGGATATGTGGTGATGCTATTGAGAAAGACAGTGACTTGCATTAGAAGGCCTCAAAGGAAAATGGGCGATTCTATACACTAGCAGGGTAAGTGTGCTGGTCAGAAAGAACTCCGAGGTAACCGAGCTCTGTTTAGCGGCGCACTCTTCCCGCTCACATTCATATTTATGCCACAGTCAAATATAGCGAGTGCAACAAACCCCAATGAGACTTGAAGTATGTCAGACATAGACATCAGATTCAACAGTAACTCTGCTGGTCTGCTTTTAGTTTGTGAAGTACACAATACCACCTCATTCCTATGCTGCCTAAATGACCAGTGGGTACTTTTAAAAGAAACTGAGCCTACATTCCACACTGAATTGGCGTTCGAAGGGAACACACTTCTTGAGCTTTCATATCGAGGAAGCAAAGTGTCGAAGTGTGGATGGGGATCAATACGAGTCAGAAGTTGTCTTTTTTTGTTACGGGAAACCTTTTAAGATTCTATGAAAAATTTCTCAGGTGACTTGAACTAGCAAATGATTTTGTGTAAAGGTTCAACGTGAGGGGCACATGACTGAAGATGCAAGACTCGTGCTCACCAGCTCTGGAATTCAGCCCTGCTCCACTCAAACTTGTGGTCCCAGTGCCTCATGCCCCGAAGTTCGGGGAAAACCACATTGAAGTCCCGGTTTGGTGTCGTGATCACGGCAACCTTAGGACGGACGAAGCCAAAGATGGTTCCAGGTAGCTTCTTCAGGTCATCTTCGTGCAAGTGTTCTACACTGGGCAGAAAAAAAGAAAAAAGGGGGATCGACAGTATTCAAATGGAAAACGACAGAAATATTTATTTACTTTCCCCCTCCGACTTACCATTTCTTCTTTGAACAAAGAGAAGAACGAAAGAGTGCAGTAGTGCGATTACAACGCCTAACGCGCGTCTCGAACTATTGTGTCTAGTGTCCTATTCCACCCATGCATCGAAAGCAGTTCCGAAGCGGCAACAAACGACATAACAAAAACAAGAGTGTCATGCCGTCGGATGTCACAATCCTGGAGGTTGGCGCAGAAGTTCTCGAAAAAAGCACGAGAAAATGCAAGCATCGCCGTTGTCACGTCGTCCCAACTCCTGGCCTGCCGAAGCTTCCGTGGACTGTCGAGCCGGAGAGTGCCCCGCAGCAGAACAGGTGTTTGCCACATCTGCCATCGCTGCTGCGATACCGCCAGGATCGCGGTTGGCAACGGCGTGACACTTTTATGAAGTCACAGGGCAGAAATCGAGGGGCCATATTTTTGGACATGAAGACGCATTCCAGGCGCGCAGACTCACAGCTCGATGCAGGTGACGCCGTCGAAGCCCCTGAGCCGGGGGTCTTGCTCGGCCACGCTCCCCCTGTAGAAGCGGGCCGTGAGGCTGTGCGCCCGCTTGTGGATGCAATCCCAGACGAGGGGACGTGCGACGTGGCAGGCTCCCTCCAGGCAGCCGTAGCTGATGTCCACGGCTGCAAAGTGCCTCAGGTGCTCCATCTTCTTGAGGTAGCGAAAGAACTGCCCCGTGGAGCAGCCAAAGTCTACCACCTGGAAGGACGACGGCATCGTCACGTGCCCGACTGGCAAGTGAACGTCGGGCGTTTCACAAATATTCAGGTTGGAAGGCCTTTATGTAGTCAGCTGTACCAAAAGTAATTCAAGAAACGAAGGTATACAAGACAGTGCATTGCAAAAAGGCTCCACTTGTTTTACTCGTGCGAACCCAATAGCCTACAGGCCCAAGAGCAGCAAAAAAACCTCCTGGCAGATGCTTTTTTTTTTATTTCTTTTTATTGACTGATCAAGCAGGTAGTTTATAGAGTGCATTCTCTTCCAAATCAATGTCTCTTTCTTTCACTACCCTTGCGAAAGATGACAGCACTGCCCCTTCCACTTTGAGATCTCCTTTCTTGAAACATGCATCTGACCGCACACCCACTGTAGCTGTTACTCGTCTCTCTGCCACAAAGATAGAAGAACTCGATTATGCGCCCTGCCATTGCCGAACTGTCTTAATTGGAGTCACCGATGAGTGCATGCACATATTTTAAGCAAGTACCCTAGTGAAATCAAGCTGCTTCTCTCAGTAGCATATGTCTCCTGGGAGGGGCAAAACAAATAAAAGAAAATAGTACCCTTTGCACAGAGTCATCTTCCGAAAGTATTTGGTTCACGGCGATGTAGCGCTGGATTCCAACGGGAGGGTCAAACCTGATTCTTGAACATTCTTCAACTTCTTCGCCGAGCCTATACAGGTGAGAAAGTGCGGTTAGTCTGGCCACTAGAAAAAGCTTTTGAAGCGCGTCGAAGAACTCAAGTTTACTGCAGTGGTACTGCACTCACGAAATTTCTCAGCTACGTGCAGCGAAGGCATCAGGCGCCCATCGGGGTGACTAAAGCCTCATTCACACTGTGCGACTTTACTTGCGGTTTAGCAGTTGCACGTTCCGCCGTCGGCAAAAACATGAAAGCTGCGATGCGCCACACTTGCGAAATGCAAGTAAAGCTCGCGCTGCAGAACCCAGGGATCCTGGGTTCGAGCCCCACCCCTGCCCGTTTCGATCTGGATGAGCATCGTACCGGCGTGCGGTCGTGAATCACTACTGCGTGGTGCACGTTAAAGACCCCAGGCTAGCGGTTGTACTGCACTGGCTAAATCGCTCATCTAGAGCGTGTGACTCGTCGCAACTTTAATGGCTGACCAATAACCCAATGCAAGTAAAATCGCACCACCTGAATCGGCTTTACTTCCCGCTGTCCAACCATACACACAATACACGATTACAATCACTCAACTTCATCTATGCCCTCTAGTTACTGGTGATCGCCAAATAAAGTAATCATCCTGTGTCACATCTGAAAACCGAAACAAAGCCGCCATTTCCCTTAATTTTTCGATAAGGGGAACCACCTACAGGGTATTCTTATTCACGTCCAACGGTGGTTCTGTCCCAAGAGGCGTCTCACACAACTGCATTGCTTGGCTGGTCGAGTCAGAACACGATTTTGCAGTCACTTGGCTCACTTTCCGAAGGAAACTCGTATACAGGGGGACTCAAACCTTCCAAGTTTCGAATTCGTCTACTCCTGATGACTAAGGCTGGGCTAGGCTAAGCTACTTACATACTTCTTTAAAAGATCGGCTATGGCTTATTCAATCTAGGTTTTATTGGCAAGCAAGAAACAATAAAAAGTATTAGCAAAAAATGTACCTAAGATTTATATAAAAATTTCGTTCATAACTAGTGAAGTGTCAACAAGACAGAAATTTGGGCAAGTTGGGTAACCATCTTAAAAGGTAAAACAGCGCAAAAATGAGACACAAGAAACAAGGAAGGCAGCGCTGTGTCTTTGCCTTCCCTGTTTTTTGTATCTCGTTTTACACTCTTTTACCACCTTTATCTTGTAGTAAAGCATCAACTGTCTGCTTTCGTATCGTTACGCGGCTCACGACAAGAGTTTTTCTGGTCAATCGGATCAATCCAATCCCAAGCCACGACTATAAAATCCATTAGAAGCACGTTTTGGTAAAATTTCCCCAAGGGTGCAGAAGGTTGTACTTCGTGTTTCTTTTCCTGGGTAAACTGACCGAACCCCAACCCATCACCATGTCGAAAAGTGTGAAGCGCCTCAAATCCATGAAAAAGGTGGTCGAGAAGGTCATGCACACGACGCCTCTAAAACTCTACATCCCGGCGGCTTCGGCCATGCCCGGTCCACCGCTGGGACCCCAGCTCGGCCAGCGCGGCATCAACATCGCAAACTTCTGCAAGGAATTTAACGAGCGGACCAAGGACATGAAACCCGGCATCCCGATCCCGTGCAAGATCTCGCTGAAGCCCGACCGGACGTACAAGCTGGAAATGATGAACCCACCCATCAGCTTCTTTGTCATGCAGGCGGCTGGCATCGACCGCGGCGCCATGCAAAACGGCAAGGAGAAAGCCGGCATAATATCGCTGAAGCATGTCTACGAGATCGCCAAGATCAAGAGCGAGGATACCGTGTACGAGTGCATGCCGATGCAGGATCTGTGCAAGATCGTGATCAATTACGCTTACCGCTGCGGCGTGCAGGTGGTGCGCGAACTGGACGCCGAGCAGTGTCGCGAGTTCCACGAAAAGCGGCGACCCATTGTTCAGGCGCAACTCGCGCAGATCGAGGAGAAGAGGCAGGCCAAGCTGTTGCGGACGGTTGCCTAGAAGTCTCGGCGCCCTCAAGAAACTTTGCTCTGCTCTCTAGACATAGGAATACGTTCGAAGCAGCCAGGTGATGATGTTATTTGGAGGAAAGGCTTCGTAAGCGCTGCGCATAAGTGTTCGCTGTAGCAGGGACCACATACCTTTTTGCCGACCCGAAAATCCCGTGCTTTCAAGGGCACAACGGTTCGAAAATCAAAACGTGTGTACTGTCGTTACATTAGTGCTGCAGTTGATGAACAAGACGTTTTGACATTTGGTGGCTCTCCACTTTACTATTGGTAGGTTGTAATTTCGGCTTTGTCATTGGTCTAGTATACTTGTATGGGCACTGCTACAAAGAGAAGTCTACAGCTTGCACATATCTGCTAGAGGTGGTAAAAGTGAAATACAACCTTTGAAAGAGCCTTCCATCTGCATTCAGGGTACTGGCTTGACTGGGGCAGTCAGCTTGTATTCGAATCAGCGCAACAATATCACATTGAGTCCTACATTGACTAACTACGTTTACATGCACCTGGTTGCTTCTTCCTTCATTTTATGTATACTTATTTGTCCTTTCCCTTCAATCCAATTTGCTACTTTTGCTTTCATATATAAAGCCAGCCATTGGCAGACATAGGCTTTGAGAAAGTTGACTGTGTGCATTTATCTTGTACAGTAGTCACCAAAATTGTGGAACAAGCAAACCCTGCTTTACCTTGTGGTGGCACAATCTTGGCAACAGGCAAGCCAGTGTGGTGCCATTGCCTAGCACAGAGTGGGGACGCAGCAGAAGGTTTGTTAGGCAGGCAATCTATGGTTCATAGCAACATTACTAAACCACTCGGTTGGGAAACTGCCATACAGACTGCTCGAAAAAAGTGGCATCGACCCGTCCTCCAGAACCGAGCTAATAGTGATCACAAAGCCGCCATTTCTCCCGCAGCGGCCACTCGAGGAACTGCTCGTGACATCTATTTTGGCTTTAATCGGCCATTTTGGTGCCGAAACAGATACAGTGGAAGAGGTTACAGGGGCACCACCCCCGTCTCCCCAGCGGACGTGGCGCGAATTGTTACTGTAGCCAAGATGTACCTAGGTCGGGACGCGCTACCTGAAATCACCGCTGAGGCATGGTTGTATAAAAACAATATTAATTGTGCCGCAAAACCTTGCAAACTAAAGATTTTAGAAAACATCCCGCGCCCTCAATTTGTACTGAACTCCAATAAAAATTACTACAAAAAGAGTTTTTTCCCGTTGGTCTTTATGCAAAAACATGCGTCTGAAAGTTCAAGGTGACCACAGTAAAAAAAAATGATAAAGGGTGGCGCTGTTGTCGTATTTAGCTCGGTCTCGGTGGACGCCAGCGGCCCATGTTTCAACAGTGAGTTTCCCAACTGAGGGTTCTAGTAACGTTGGTTCATAGTAATAAACCTAAAACTAAAAGCGAATAAAAAGAACAAAAAAAAAAAAAAACAAGGGAAAAACATGCAGTCTCAAATTTGACAGGTGTGCGTGGGAGTTTTTCTTTTTTTGTTTTTAGTCTCGGGTTTATCATTATGAAGTTGGTTCACCGCTTACTGGTGTTTTTGTTTTTTCGCTGTCATCGTGATCAATGCATATTGCCATGCCCCTCGTTCAACAATAGGTGACTGCTGAAATTGCCATTCTTTCTGTAGCTGCACAAGTAGGGAAAATACTGCTGAAAGAGCACATCACACAACTAGCAAGCCATCCAGTAACAAGATTTCGATAGTCAACTATGCATTATCTAGTGAGATGGTGGCATTAGGTGCAGTCTTAAATAGTAAAGCGTTACTAGTAACGCGTTACTGTAACTTCGTTACTTTTTTGGTAACTTGTAACTGTAACGAGTTACTTTTTAAAAATGTAACTTGTAACTGTAGTTCTATTACTTTTTCTGAGGTAACGATGAAAGTAACGACGTTACTTTCCAGTTTCTTATGAATAATATATCACTGAATGAATACAATTTAGCCATTCTTTGCACTTTCCAAATTGTCTGTTCCGACATTTCGAGTGTGGAGTTATTTTTTGCACAAACTTGTGAATACATTCTTTCTCGCTAGTCGAGACCCGAATATAGCCACGTGTAGATTTGGTGAAAAAAAAAATCTATTTATCTTTAGCACGCGCTTGTACTTTGTGACTGAACACTTGCATCTTATTGTCTTGAAGAAGTATCTCTGTTGCGGTTCTTTTTTCTGCGCAAACGCTTTTTAATCGGGTGAATCAAACGTGAAACAACAATACATGCGGAAGGCACTGCGAATGTTTCGTATTTTGATTAGCGCGACCACTCCGCACTGCGCATGTTTCGTATTTTGATTTGCGCTACTACTCCGGTGTAGTGTCAACAGTCGAAGCAAAATTTACTGCTGTTTGCGCGGAGTTTCTTTCTGGCTTGCCGGGTACGAACTGAAATATTTCCAGGGACTCTATGAACCCAGCGTAACCGTCAACGAGCCAGCAATGTGCTAGTGCTAACAAGGATATGAATGTTGATAAGAACAAAGAAGAACTACCATGGCCGGCGTACAGAGTATTTTGCTGCGGTGGAGGTGGTTACTAACAACTTGACCGCAGAAAACGGCACTCTGTTGCCTCAACGCCTACCCGGCAATCAAAAACCTGTTCTGGCGAAACAACACAGCAATCCCATCCAGCGCGTTAGACGAGCGCCTGTTCAGCAAGGGCAGGGACGTGTTCGTTATCAAACAAGGGAAACTTTCAGACACTAATTTCGAGAAGCAACTGCTGCTAAGTTACAGTATGAAGTAAAAAGCACACTTTTTTTAATTTTATGCAAATAAACTTGGTGAAAAGCGTTTTCTAGTTTATTTATTTTTTATTTATCAATACTGCCAGCCCAATATAGGGCCAAGGCAGGAGTGGGGTGATACAGTGTCACACATGCACATTATAAACACAACAGTTCTAAACAAAAAGCAATCTTAGCACCGAAAAATAATATCTACGACATATTCGAAAGAAGAGAAACAATACAGTAACCAAATGTAATACTAGTAATAACAATAACAGTATAGCAGTAAATGTAACAGCAGTAATAAAAAATAAAGACAGTAAAAATAATTTCATAAGAGCAATAAAAGCAATCTTAGCACTGAAAAATATTATCTACGGCTTTTTCGAAAGAAGAGAGTGAATCAATATCGACAACATCACCAGGAAGGCTGTTCCACAAATCAATTGTATGCACAAAAAAAGATTGTTTATAGCTATTTATTCGAGCTTTAATAGGGGCTACGGTCTTTGAGTGATGCAAGCGTTCCGAGTAAAAACTTTTTGGTTTTAAGTAAACGGAGCCATCAATTTTTATACTGTTCTTGAAAATCTGAAAGAACAGCTTCAACCGTTGGCTCTCTCTTCTGCTTGACAGAGGGCTTATATTGGCTCTCCTTTTAAGTTCGGTCACAGACGTAGTTCGTCTGAAATCTGAAAAAAACTACACGCGCAGCTAGCGATTGAATATCTTCGAGTTCTCTGACCAGAGAGCTCTGCCATGGGCTCCACACTGCAGACGCGTATTCTAACACAGGTCTAATAATTGTCTTATATGCAAGAATTTTAACGGAAGGGGGAGTTTTAGCTAGCGTTCTCTCCAGGTACCACAATTTGTTAGTTGCCCGCTTTTTAACATACTCCACATGCCTTTTCCACCCGAGGTCAGAAGACAAAATCACTCCTAAATATTTGTAACTGTCTACTTCAGTCAATACTACGCCAGCAACCTCATAGCTAAAGTTTAAGACAGTTGTTTTTGTTGTTATATGCATGTACTGAGTTTTGCTAATATTAATCTTCATGTTATTTTCACGACACCAAGACGCAATGTTAGCCAGCGCTTCACTCACTTTTATCTGGTCTTGTATTTCAACAACGGGACTGTAAATAACGCAGTCGTCGGCAAACATTCTTAGCTTAATTGGGATATCTTCAGTGAATGGGAACAAACTGTTAACGTAAGCTAAAAAAAGTAGGGGCCCTAAGACAGAACCTTGGGGCACCCCAGAATGAACATCTAACAGCCCTGAGTAAGTACCATTTATATCCACAAATTGTTGACGGTTTGAAAGATATGCATTGATCCACCTAGTCAAAGAAAAAGGAACTCCGAGGTCTATTAATGTCTTAATCAGTCTGCGGTGAGGTACCCGGTCGAATGCCTTCGACAGGTCGATGAAAACTGCATCAACCTGCGAATGGTTGTTAACGTAAGTGGCTAATTCATGGTAAAATTCAATCAACTGGGTTACCGTTGACAGGCCACTGCGGAAAGCATGTTGGTTGGGGTTTAGAACATTATGCATTTCTAAGAAAGAAACGAGTTGTTTGGTTATGATATGTTCTAGTAATTTACAGGCCGTGCAAGTCATGGAGATAGGACGATAATTATCGATTGAGTCACTTCTGCCAGATTGCTTTATAGGGACAACCCTAGCGACTAGCCAGTCATTCGGTAATGCAGCATCCTTGATTGATATAGAAAATATTCGTACAAGGTATTTGGCCACCCATTCTACATATCTTTTAAAGAAGGCATTCGGCAAAGCATCTGGTCCCGGGGATTTTTTTTCATCGAGTGAAAGTAGTAGTGCAACAACACCCTCCTCAGATATAAAACTGCTCCTGTCATCTGCGGGAGGAATAATGACGTTCTGACATGACTCTCTTGTAAATACAGACTGGAAAAACTGATTGAACTTAACTGCTATTATTGCCTTGTCACTCACCAGGCTGCCGTCAATAGATATCTGTTTAATACCACTTTTTGTAGGAGATAGGTGATGCCAGAACTTTTCAGGGTTAGATAGCAAACATTCAGGTAACGTCCTTGTATGGTATGTTTCTTTAGCCAATTTTATTAAGCTTTTTAGTTGCCTCGCCTGCTGATTTACATAATCAGATCGACGCTTCCGAAGCCTTTTCAGCTTCCGTTTAACGTGCAGAATTTCCCGTGTTATCCACGGGTTTCGGCGTTTTATCTTTTTTGGAATAAAATAAGCAAGACAATGGCCCACTATACACTTAAAGCTCAGCCACATTTCATTTACCTCAGTCCGCTGATTGAAGTTATCGAGGCACTGCTCAAGATAGTCAATAACGGATTCATCATTTGCCCTACCAAAATCATAGTACATCTTCTTCTCATAGTGTTTAGACTTAGTAACAGAAATATCACATTTTAAAAATACTAACTTATGGTCAGATATTCCGTCATGAACAGAAACCTCACAACCATCGAAATGATTACTAACAAACAAAAGATCGAGTAGCGAACATGTAGTGTCAGTAACACGCATAGGTTCCGTAACAACTTGACGTAAACCGCGACTGAAAGCCAATTGTAGAAGCGAGTCGGACATCCTCGTGCCCTGGACAGCCACACCATCATCCGACCAAATGACGTCCGGAGCGTTAAAATCTCCTCCAATTATCAATTTACTTCGACTATTAGTGTTTGCGATCAAGTAATCCAAGATTTTATCTAAGTCCTCAGAGGATGATCCTGGCTTTTTATATACCGTTCCAACAGTTATCCAAGTTCCGAAGAAATCCAACTTGCACCACACACTTTCACTGTCACCAACATGCTCCATGGATTGAAACGCCAAGTTGTCTTTTATCGCTATAGCTACTCCTCCACCTCTGCCGCACCTATCCCTGCGAAGTAATCTATAGTTTGGCGGTACGACTTCGTCATCAAGAATATTATCATTAAGCCAGGTTTCGGTTATCAGAAAAACATGCGGGTCGTAGCAATAAATTAAAGCTTCTAGTTGGTCAGTTTTGTTAACTAAGTTTCGTGCATTTAGGGATACCAGTCTTAGTTCTTTTTTTTCTTCTCCTAATTTTTTTTTGTGTTATAGAAAAGTAACTGAAAAGTAACGTCGTTACTTTTTAAAAGTAACTGTAACAGTAACGAGTTACTTTTTTGTTGCGGTAACTGTAACGGTAACTTCGCTACTTTTTTTCTGAAAGTACTTGTAACTGTAACGAATTACTTTTTAAAAGTAACTTACCCAAGACTGATTAGGTGTAGATTACCTATCCAGTAATTTCTACCTTTAGGCGATTCACCTCGCCCACTTGCATCATTCTATTGCGATCATATGTGTAGAGCTGCTTCGTTCCAATAGCTTCGTATCCGGAGCTCTTGGGGAGCGAGATGGTGCAAGTCTCGCTAGTGCTCTTGCGCAGCATTCAACGCCGTGTGCAGTGCGGGACGTTTCATCATGGACTGTTTTTTTTTTGCACAACTGTACGAGGCAATGTTGGTGCCGAGTCTAGCATCACAGTTGATTCATTGTAATAACCCAATTTCAACTTTCCAACAACCCTCCTCAACAAATCATCCATGGAACAAAATTTTAGGGGATGCCGCAACTATCCAATTAATTATAGACTTTCTAGATGGCACACTACACAAACAAGATAAAAATATATCAACTTTATTTTGAGTTGCAGTGGGCAATCATCATGACCAGAACAAAGATATATGACCCCGCACTTTTCACTTGGCAATTAATTCATAGTGTAAACAATGGCTCGGCTGTGGAGCGAGCACCGCACAGGTGGCAACGCTGACCCCCTTTCCAATCTATGGCTCAGACACCGACGTCCAGACGTGCAGCAGGGAGCCCGACAATGTTGCGAGAAGTGCTGTCGCCGACTTCAAAGGCTCAATGCTTCGAGGGATTCCACCGAGGAAAAAGCCTGTTGGTCTTCGGAACTGAGTTCTGCATTGCCCGGCCGTACTACAAGTCGTGCCCGTATTCCTGCCTTGGCAGCTGCATGGGCCTCTGCGAAGCAAACAACACTAGCTCAACACACGGACAAAGCGCTGTAGAGATACTGCAGGCATTGCATGTGCCAGGCCGGCTATCGTTAGATTAGAAAAGAGATGGTTTGCAGCCGAAATGCCATGAACACTGATTATCACAAGCTTGGGCACGAAGAGTGGTTGGCATTATTTCTCAGGCTGTACAGTGTGCCTATGGTATCACCTCAGTCATATGCTTGGCTGTGGTTCTGATCATTCTTGTCGTCTTTTTATTTTCTCTTTTACCTGCCTAATTCTGTGTTGGTGGCACGCTGCTCACCGCGTGCTTTGTGGGTCGCCATGTATCCGCTGAAAATTGCTCTAACTTCTGAATTGGACAGAGATGAGTTCTGAAACTTTGGCGTCTGGTGCTACATTTGAGGCGGAGATCGAGTGTTCGGTGACGTAGACTAGTTTATATTTGTAGTAAAAGGAAACACGGTTAACTTCTCTCCCAGGCACCCAGTACTTGACATATTGCTGCCACTTACCAGCTGCAATGTCCGTCAGGAACAGGATCTCCCCAGGTTTGTGGCCGATAGCCTCGGTGATCTTCTCGTAGCTCTTGACATCTGTCTTAGGACCGGCAGTAGTAATGTCGAAGTAGCCACTCAACATCTGGACACGGTAAGAGGCGGTTGAGTTGCACATAAATAAACTACGGAACTATTAGTCCCTGGAAAATGCTCATCAGCATCTTAATTACTCTAATAGAAAAGCAAAGAGAGTTTGTAGTGTAATACCTAGCATGAGAAAATAAATTTATTTAGAGACCACCATTCCCAACGACAAACTGCACGATAAGAAATAGATTGGCTCACCCCAGTGACGTCGCCCTCCGTGGTGTGCGAGAAGAGCAGCTTCTGAGCGTGGATGCTCCCTGAAGAGTAGATGTACAGAGACTTGCCAGCAGCTTTCCACTTCCGAAGCTCCGGAACCACGTCTTCATAAAGGCTGCGGGGACATGACAGAAACAGTCATCTCCAAGAACGTGCAGGGCACATTCGGATGGATGGATGACTTGATGGTAATAATAGGCCAGTGGTTCTCAAATTGGGGTCTGCAAACCCTTCGGGGCCTGCGAAGGCCTGCCTTATCAGTCAAGCCCGGCAATAAAGGTGATATTTCTTCAGAGTGAGAAGAAACATTCCAATTTTCGGGCAAGTGTTCTCGCATGTGTGCCAAAGGGAGAAGTCTACTTCACATGGCCATCAGTTATGTCTATTTATGAAATCATTATCATACTTAACTTATACCTTTTCATTCCCCTCGCCACAAACGGGGTCCTCCACCGATCCACAGGGGGTCCACGAAACATCAAGGGTTGAGAACCACCGGTATTAGCTATACTCTTTGCATCGAGCGGTAGCTTGCGCCACCTAGCCCATGGTCACTCACTTGGCCAAATCGAATTCGGGGGTCTTTACGTGCCAAACCGACATGGGATACTTGGCCTATCCCGGCAGAGGACGAGGATTAATTTCGACCACCTGTAGTGCTTTTGACGCACAACCACAGTGCCTGAAACCTGTCTCCTACCGGTGCATCTAGCATCCTATTCTACCCATGCATCGAAAGTAGTCCCGAAGTGGCAACAAACGATGCTTGGAAAAGCTGGAGTGCTACGCCGTCAGATGTCGCTATCGTGGTGTTTATGGAAGTTCCGGTAGAAAGCATGAGCAAATACGAATCTCGCCGTTGTCGCGGTGTCCCAATTCCTGGCTCCCAAAGCTTCCGTGCACTGTCGAGCTGGAAAGCAACCCGCAGTCACATCCACCACCACTGTTGTGACACTACCAGGATTGCGACCGTCGACAACGTGACACTTCTATGACGTCGTCAAGTGTGAATGGGGGAACCACTCTTTTGGATGCGGCAAACGCACCAGTCGGAGACGCGTTCCTGGCATTATACACTCCGTGCGACGCGACTGGCGCGCCGCTGCGCGGCCGGTATTGAAGGTAGGCAATAAGAACCCCAGAGAAAACGAAACCGAAACCACGCCGCGTATGTTGGTACTCATGGAAGTCGGAGTGGTGCGGTTGCACTGGGTTCGCAGCATGAAGTGCTTGCTGCCTGTGCTGCGTCATTAAAGGGGCGGTGCAATGATTTTAACACTGAACGAATGTGCAGCTTGTATTTTTTATATTGTTTACTTCGGCATAAGTAAGAGAAAAAGTGCCACCATACCCCAAAATACCTCTATTTTGCTGCGTAATCGCAAAAGAAAAAACCCTTTTTTTTCCCAACCTGCGACCACATGGTGGCCGCAAACGGAACCTGTGGTGTGACGTCATTCGGAGTGGTTTTTGTAAGTGATAGTGTTAGGCAATTGTAAGCTTGATTTAAGGTTAAGTTTAAAAAATCTTGTTGTTTAGGCATGCAGAAACGCTTCAAAAGCCTAATATTGCCGCTAAAAGGGTATGAATTATTTGTGGCGCCATCTACCGCAAGTCAACAGAACCTGCCGTCGCCGTCATCCGTCGACGCCCGTGGTGCCTACGGCGGCTACACGAGCAACCCGGACGTTTTGTCTTTCCCTCGCTCGACGGAGTGCGTTGGTCGTGGTCAGTGGTATCGTGGTATCGTTATTGTTCCTGGTCTCTCGACCTCGACTTTGACTTCGACTGCCCGCCGCGCCGCCATGTTGGTCGGGAATCGACGAGAGAGCGGGAGAGCGGCGAGCCTGGCGAGCTGGCGAGTGCTGGGGAAACGGAAGCCAGAAGAACCCAACCGGAAACCAACGCCACTCCGAATGACGTCACAGGCGAAGCTGGTGCCGCTTCAATGTTGAGTTGAGGGGTGCCAGAGATACCAATTTCTTTTATTTTTTTTTAATGAAAACTAGGGCAAGCAGGAAAGAATAGTTTTCGGTCCTTCGTTTTATATGTGGCCGGGATCAATTCCCGCAATTAATTAGCCAAAGTCCGCAAATTGTTGCACCGCCCCTTTAAGTGCTCCTAAAGTTATGTGTCGTATCTCGTGGAGACAAAGTTTCAAAGTTTTTCACCTCGCCGATGTTTTGTGGGACAGCGACAACGATGGAGCCGTGCCGTACGACGCGAGAAATTTGGTCTCCCGATCATGTCTGCCACTGTGTCGGCACGGCTGACATATTCTACACTGCCGCTTTGCGCTCTGCGTTTGTTTTCGTACCAGTAACACCTACATGTGTCAGCGCCGATGGGACGAACTGAAATGCCATCCCACACTCGCGGGCATGCAGTGCCAATTTCGTTGGAGGAATGCCCTCCACAGAAGTTTCGTCCCCATCGTACGTGTCAATGATATTTCCGGACAAGTATGGCACGCGATCTGTACTTTATGAAGAAAGATTCGAGCGGTAAAAAAAGTGACAAAAATAAATCTAAAGAAGACAACAATGGAATTCGGAATCACTGGAGAATCGACGTTTGAGTATGGAAGTTTATGTGGTGTGCTTTCTTTCTTGATCAGCCTCCTTTTGGATGTGGAAACGCTGACACCCCGAGTTCTGTAGACAACAATTTTTTTTTCTCGGCTTTAGAGCCACCTATTGCAAAGTGGTTCGAACTGGAAGTACCATCCACTGGTCCCTTCCTACCTGTAAAGTGTGCACCTCCCACGATGAGTGGTATTATCTGACAGCTTTTGACGGTAAAAGCCAGTTCCCATCTAGTTACGCCGCCCAAACTAAATTTCCACCTGGTTTCACTATGCCAACTCTTTTTGTTATAATAAGTGTTGTGCCAAGTGACGGTCATGTCAAAGTACCTGTGCGCCGAAAATCAGAACCGCACACAACAGGTTATTACACAACAGCTGACCGCGAAAGCCCTTGGCGGCCAAACCGTGTGTTGGCCGACAACTTTGTTTTCTTGGCTTTGGAACCACCTTTCGTAAAGTTGTTTCAATTGGAAGTACTGTCCACTAGTCCCTTCCTACCTCTAAAGTCTCCACCTCCCCCGACCAGTGGTATTCTCTTGACAGCCTTTTCATGGTCAAAACCGGTTCCCATTGAGTTACGCCGCCCAAACCAAATTTTCGCCTGGTTTCCCTATGCCACCTTTTTTTGTATAATAAGTGCTGTGTCATGTTACTGTCAAGTCCAAGCACCTGTGTGCCCAAATCTGCACTTTGCACAGCCCGCTATAACACAACATTTTGGGTCTAATATTGGATATCCCGTACAGCTTTATTTCTTTTTTCGTTAGAAACATAACTTTCACACCTGCTGTCTTAAAGAAACTTGGCACTCTTCGTGCACAAACCTAGTGAACATCTCACTCGCCTCCAAATATCATCGTTCCAGCAGTCCTAGGTTTACAGCGACGAGCGAAATAAATTTTCCACTCAGAGCAATCATGGTGGCGGCCGTCTTGTTTTTCGGAAAATTGCTCCAACTCCTTTTTCGGCCGCAACTACAGAAATTACCCCTAATAACGACTCAAACTCAATATATAAGAAGTGGAGAACAGCTAAATGCCCTTCTGCCCCAGCACTCATGCAACGTCACCCTCGACTTATGGGCTCAAAAAGCAAAAGTTTTGTCCGTGCGCGCTTCCGCCGCCACAGCTTGGCATACGAAAAGGCGCCGCAGGCTGCTGAACGCGCCTCACAGTCGAACGCCAGCTCCTCCGCTAGCGGCGCTGCGCGCGTTTTTCAAAACGCCCCCTATACACTCCGTGCGGGAACTATAGGGGGCGCTTTGAAAAACGCGCGCAGCGCCGCTAGCGGAGGAGCTGGCGTTCGACAGTGAGGCGCGTTCAGCAGCCTGCGGCGCCTTTTCGAATTCCAAGCTGCGGCGGCGGAAGCGCGCACGGACGAAACTTTACCTTTTTGAGCCGATACGTTGAGGGTGACGTTGCATGAGTGTTGGGGCAGGAGGGCATTTAGCTGTTCTCCACTTCTTATATATTGAGTTTGAGTCGTTATTGGGGGTAATTTCTGTAGTTGCGACCGAAAAAGGAGTTGGAGCGAGTTTCCGGAAAGCAAGACGGCCGCCACCATAATTGCTCTGAGTGGGAAATTTATTTCACTCGTCGCTGTATACGTAGGACTGCTGGAACGATGATATTGGAGGCGAGTGAGATGTTCACTAAGTTTGTTGCACGAAGTGTGTTAAGTTTCGTTAAGACAGCAGGTGTGAAAGTTGTGTTGCTAACGAATAAAGAAATAAAGCTGTACGGGATATCCAATATTGGACCCAAAATCCCAAAATGTTGTGTTATAGCGGGCTGTGCAAAGTGCAGATTTGGGCACACAGGTGCTTCGACTTGACAGTAACATGACACAGTACTTATTATACAAGAAAAGGTGGCATAGGGAAACCAGGTGAAAATTTGGTTCGGGCGGCGTAACTCAATGGGAACCGGTTTTGACCATGAAAAGGCTGTCAAGAGAATACCACTGGTCGGGGGAGGTAGAGACTTTAGAGGTAGGAAGGGACTAGTGAATTGTACTTCCAATTGAAACAACTTTACGAAAGGTGGTTCCAAAGCCGAGAAAACAAAGTTGTCGGCCAACACGTGGTTTTTGGGCTTTTGCGGTCAGCTGTTGTGTAATAACCTAGCTCTAGTGCGAGGTGCTGATTTTCGGCGCACAGGTACTTTGAGATGACCGTAACCTGGCACAACACTTATTATAACAAAAAGAGTTGGCATAGCAAAACCAGGTGGAAATTTAGTTTGGGCGTCGTACCTAAATGGGAACTGGCTTTGACCATCAAAGGTTGTCAGATGATAGGTGCACACTTTGCAGGTAGGAAGGGACCAGTGGACGGTACTTCCAGTTCGAACCACTTTGCGATAGGTGGCTCTAAAGCCGAGAAAAAAAAATGTTGTCTACAGAACTCGGGGTGTCAGCGTTTCCGCATCCAAAGGAAGGCTGATCAAGAAAGAAAGCACACCACATAAACTTCCATACTCAAACGTCGATTCTCCAGTGATTTCGAGTTTCATTGTTGTTTTCTTTAGATTTATATTTGTCACTTTTTTACCGTTCGAATCTTTCTTCGTGGAGTACAGATTGCGTGCCATACTTGTCCGGAAATATCATCAACACGTACGATGGGGACGAAACTTCTTTGGAGTGCATTCCTCCAACGAAATTGGCACTGCATACCCGCGAGTGTGGGATGGCATTTCAATTCGTCCCATCGGCGCTGACACATGTAGGCGTTACTGGTACGAAAACAAACGCAGAGCGCAAAGCGGCAGTGTAGAATATGTCAGCCGTGCCGACACAGTGGCAGACATGATCGGGAGACCAAATTTCTCGCGTCGTACGGCACGGGCCCATCGTTGTCGCTGTCCCACAAAACATCGGCGAGGTGAAAAACTGAAACTTTGTCCCCACGAGATACGACGCATAACTACTGAAGCACTTAATGACGCAGCACAGGCAGCACTTCTCATGCTGTAAACCCAGCACAACCGTACCGCTCCGACTTCAATGCGTACCAACGAACGCGGTGTGGTTTCGGTTTCGTTTTCTCTGGGGTTCTCGCTGCCTACCTTCGGTACCGGCCGCGCGGCGGCGCGCCAGTCGCGTCGCACGGAGTGTATAGTTCCCGCACGGAGTGTATAGCGCTACTGAGAGCCTTCTCCACAATGAGCCCCAGTCAAATTGCGGGCACCTTGACCGGCATTCGAACCTGCAGTTTGGGGGTCACTCACTTGGCCAACAGGTGGCCGTCTTGGTAGCCCCGCGTCCACACCAGGCCCTGAATGGCCTTGAGGGGTGCAGTCTTGCGGTCCCGATCCATCTGCCACAACAGGTGGGCCTCCACCGCTGCCTGCACATTCTCGGCGGACCCTTCGGATGGCACGGACGGCGCCCCGTCCCCCGCTCCCTCCTGCACAGGACGGTAGCGCTAGACTAGTTCCTCGGACAGCGAGGACTCGACGCTACAATTCTGCAAATGTGTCGTTATGAAAACAAGCGTGCATCACGAGGACAGTCTGTTATGGAAGATGGCACCCTGTTCTGCTGTTGTAGGAGGACAATACATGGTGAGTGTGGTGTGCCTGCTAATGCGAGGCCTCTAATATGCACCCTAGATGCTGACAAAGATTCCCATCTTTGCAAGGAAACGCATTGTCTTGAAATATTAACTTTCAAAGGCAGGAAGGCTGTACTATTTTTGCGTGCGCATTGGTCTGATGCAGCGTGCACACACACATACAAAACTGGTGACAACACCCATTTTGTTGCGTTTGCCTTTTAAATCGTCAGGCAGGCCCAATCGCTAGGTGGCTCACATGCCAACCTCCCTTTACAGCTACAGGGAGTAGCCTTGGATCCATGAGCCCGAAATAAAGATGGCAGATATATAAATTTATTTTGTTCAATGTATTATAACAAATCAAATATTTCTGAGCAGCAGTTCTTGAAACAATTTTGAACAGAAACGTGATGAAATACACTAGCGAGGAACATTTATTCAAAGCTAGCAGGATCAGTGATCACTCGTTCCGTTGAATGTGTCCATTTCGAAATTCCTTGAAATACAATACGACAGCGTTCGCAAAGAACACCATTAAGCTTGGAAGTCTACCTCACTCCCAACCATTGGCATGTGCTTCTCAAAGTGCATATTTGGCGGTGTTGAACGTTTATTTTCAGAGGTCTTCAAGAGAAGGACCTAATTTTAGTTAGCTTGTACCATATGCCTGCCGCCTGTGGTTTCTTGTATAACAAAGCAAAGCAACAACCAAAACAAATGATCCTTCAAAGCAATATTTGAACAGTTCGTCGCAGTTATTGAAATATACAATGCTTAGAATCTCAGCTCTCATGGCGGCCGCAATGCCCCGCCGGTCCGAGGAGGCCCAAATGCATGGGAAGGTGGCAAAACATTTTCAGGACAGCATATGCGGATGCGTCGGCGAATCGTTCGTAGACGAATCTTTCACTTCGAAGTGGTACATCAGTTTCTTCACTGAACCGCCTTGCAGGCCGACCCGCAAAATATATTTCAACCATGGCAACAATTCTCCTTGCCACCCTTCCCATTTCTCCCTCTCGAAATTTTAACTTGACCGCGAGGGGTGGGGGGTGGGGGGTAGAGAAGGGGGACTTTTTTCGTTACTGCATCTTGGGACTGGATGAGCCGGGATAAGCTCCCAGCTTATCCAGTGGGAAGATCCAGCAACAAAAGAAGGCCACTACCATCAAGAGAGTAGTGAGAGAGGCTACGTTTACATGGATGCGACTGTAGCGCATTGAATTCACTTCAACCACTGCGTTTACATGGATTCGAATCGACTGGTAGCGAAACCTCGCATCAAATGATTACAACGCACCTCACGTGACCTGTCAAGCGGGGCGGGGGGGAGGATTAGTAGAATACAATGGCCACTACGCGGTCTGGATGGTGGTGCAAAACGGAGAGGGGGAGAGAGCAAAGCTTGAAAATCACCTTAGCCTCTCTGCCCTCTCTCCTTCTCCCCCTTCCTGCGTCCTTCAGACACCTGATTCAATTTTCGCTACAGTTTACATGGAGGTCTCCATTCGGCTTGACAATCTCAAACCAACCTTTTCAAACAAATTGGATTGGACTTAATTCGATGCTCTTGGCTAGCGAATTGAGGCATTTACATGGGACGATTCAATACGCTAACTCGATTCGATGCGCTACTGTCGTATCCATGTAAACGCAGCCAGAGGGGGAGATGGAAAGGGTGGCGAGGAGGGTTTTCACCTAGATTGAAAAGTTTATTTCGAAGTGTCTAGCGTTACATCCAAATCTCTGCGTTCCCTAGGTTTATGGGAGAGAGTGAGAGGAGGGCGGAGGCGGGTGGGGGGAGGGTTAGGTCTACGCGTTTCAGTGCTCCGTCCGGACGTAACTAGAGTGCCTTCATGTTCGCAGGACATGAAGGCACCCTAGAGGTAACGCTAGCCGCAGCGAACATATTTTCCAGGTCGGTCTTTAAGGAGAGCGTTGCAACGCTCGTTCCCTGTTAGACAGTTGTAGTAGTTCGTTTTTCTCCTTCGCTACGGGTATCCGTGAAGAAAACGCCGCAGCTGCGCATGCGCGCCGCCAGCCTTGTCTGCATATGCAAGGTCGTGTGGCGGAGTACGAAGCGCTATGCGGGTGCTTAGCGGGCTGCGGAAACGGTCGACTAAAACTCCCTATGAAGGTGACAAACTCGCGCAGGAGGCGAGAAAACTGAGGAACCTCCTTGCCGTTTGTTCTCTGCCTCAGGGTAGGAAGCTAAAAAACGGTGTTCACCTGATGTTGGAGGTTGCTGACAATCGTCTTCAGCTCGTCGTCATTCCAATGATCTCTGAGGTACACTCGCAGGTTCTCTCTCGCATACGGGAAGAGTACGTCCTGCAAAGGCCGAAAAATTCTACTACAACTATCTGTTGTTTTTTTTTTCGTGTTTTTGAAGATGAAATGTGCGCCACTTACTTTGACAAAGCTAATTGAGATCACAGTTCCCTCGATGTCTAGCACTACCGCCTTCACCTCGCTCATTCTCAACACGTGCTTACAAGGCTTGAACAGATAATTCCAGGCGTTGTAGGTTGTACCGTGGAAGAGCTCTAGCTACTAATTGCTTTCAACAACCGTTAGCAAAGTAAGGTCAGTAAGCTCGGTGGACGGCTGAGTGGGTGAACCGAGCCGAGCCACTGCAGCCACTACAGCGACTACAGCCGCTACAGCTTACTGCAGCTGCAGCTGAACGACCGAGGCGACAAACAAAAATATAGCGGCGCTTTTCAAGATTGCGCTGGTTGTGGATGGATCAATAACTGAATTTCAAGTGAATGCATCGGGCGGCAACTTGCCCCACCTATATAATGTCTCTATTTTTTTTGTTATAGTTACAGCTTTTTACTGCGCAATGAAAGCCTTCTTTGATATGTAGCGACGTAGTTTCAATTTTTGGTTGAAAGTCCGGCAAGAAAATATGAGGCACTATGTATTCTTTTTGGTTTACGCCACCAGCCGAGAGATGACGGCAGCGGTCTCTTCGCGCTCGCCGAATGTAGACATTTTTTTTTCTTATTCCAAAAGGGCGCGAGATTTTGCGCTGTTCGTTGTCACTGCGTAAGTCGGGCATTATTATTAACAAAATAAATTAAGTACAAACATAAATTTTAAAAAGAAAAAAGTTTACTCTTGACGCGCTCCTATGCATTTGCATTTCACAGTCCGCAGAACATTTGACAGTGTTAGCCATCACATTTTGTTAACAAAGCTTTCAAAGTTGGGCTTTCGATCCTCTTTTCTACATTTACTGGAAAACTTTCTGCAGGATAGGCGTCAATGTGTTTTATTTGGAGGGTATCAAAGCGGATTCTTTTCAATCAAAGCGGGTGTCCCCCAGGGCTCGGTCTTAAGTCCACTGTTATATAATCTTTGTGTTAATGACTTCTCGATGGTGGTAACAATTTCACTATTTCAATATGCTGACGACACCGTTATTTTATCTAGAGCGTCCAACTATTCATATGCATTTTCGTCTTTACAAACTGCGGCAATTAAAACTATGGACTGCTTTGAAGCTAATTTAATTAAAGTGAATGCATTCAAAACGCCGCTAATATGTTTCCACAACCGATTGAAAAAAATTAATACGCCCTCCTCTTTACGTTTACATACGTCTAGATGTTTATCATGCGCATGTGAGCCTATACAGCCGCAGGGGCGGATGCAGGAATTTTCTGAGGGGGGGGGTCAGGTGTTGGTCAGAGTACCATATGTTTAGGAACCCCCTCCCCCTCTTTCTTGTTTCACGCCCTAAATTTTATATATGCAAAAATCAAGAGAGGGTTCAGGACATCCGGACCCCCCCCCCCCCCCCCCCCCCCCCCCTCTAAATCCGCCCCTGGAGCCGTACATCTTCTATAAAATACCTTGGCCTATTCTTTGACAGTGACCTAACCTGGAGCACTAATCTTGCTCATGTGTGTATGAACATTCGTGCAGTGTCTTGTTTGCTATACAACACGAGGTATTTTAGGCCACTATCCGTTCGAAAAATTGTTGTACCTGCTCTTGTCTACAGTGTGCTCCGACGGTATTACCGTGTATGGCCATTGTGCTCTGCGTTGGCAAATTAGAATTAATTCGATTCTGCATTCTTTGTTAAAGTACATTTCCTATGATTTATGCCTTGGCAAGGACATTAACGTGTTCAAAGCAGAGTCACGTATTTTTTTTAATAAAGCTAAAAAACGCAGCTGCTCGAAACCGAAACTCCCGCACCGCACGGAGAAGTGGAGAGGGAAGATTGAGTGGCGGAAGTCATGTGGCTACACCCGACCGTGCGGGTTACTATTTTTTTTCCCGCACGTAGCAGGCGAAATGCGTTGCGGGATCCGGTCGCCGTGCGATTCTTTTCCAGTTATGTTTGTTCCGCTCGCTGTTCTGTACTTCAATATGAGTTGTTTTGTACATTTAAGTGTTGGCAATTAGTAGTGAGTGCCCGTGGTGAATTTCCGTGATCGGCTCCGAAAAGAATATTCCCAAGGTGTTGCGTGAAGAGCTGCCTCACATCTCCTGCATCTGAAAGTGGCATTGTGTGGCAGTGTGCACAAGTTCCCGAAAGTTCCCGAAGACGTAGCCCAAGTTCCCGAAGACGTAGCCGACGGCTCGGCTACGTCTTCGTGCAATCCGCTTGCTGGTCGGGCGTGTCGTACGGGATGACTATCAAATCTTTTGATCGGTCCAAAATTTCTCTTTCGAAGGAAGACAAAATTCGCAAGTACCGTGAACGACAGTTCTGAAATAGAACTGTCGTCCGCCGCCATCCGCTAGTCCCACGATCAAGGAGGATAGAAGGGTAGGAGAGGGCATGACGTCAGCCGCGTAGCCTCCACAGGCCATGCTCCCCGTGACGTCTCGCCTCTTTCTCATTTCCCTCCTTACTCTCCTCACTGATCGGCCCAACACGACCACATCACGTGACCGTACACTCTAAAAAAAAGCCCGTGCGTATACTTTCCCGCACAACACTCGGACAACCAATCAGCGCAACTTACGGGGGCAGCTCAACGAATGACAATGCTGAAACATATGTTTAGACCAAAAAACGCAGTCTGAGTTGTGACATTAAGCAATGCAAGCGTGACGTTTTGTATTGCTTAATGTCACAACTCAGACTGCGTTTTTCGATCTAAACATATGTTTCGGCATTGTCATTCGCTGAGCTGCCTCTGTAAGTTGCGGTGATTGGCTCTCCGAGTGCTGTGCGTGAAAGTAGACGCACAGACTTTTTTAGAGTTTAGTACTTATAACATCCTTGCCCACGATACGCGAAATGACGCCATGTTGAGAATTATGCAGTGAACTCACAGAATGTTTCCGGTTGCCTGTGCTACCTTTTTTTTCAATCAACGTGTTTGCAGCTTTTTGGAAGCCACGAAAAATGGGTTTCCTATTTTTTTTTTAAATAATGGCTGTGTGTCTTCAATGACCCACGACCTTAATTAAATTTAATGGCCGCGTCAAAACCTTCAGGAACGGCAGGTGCATGACCACGGAAAAGAGAGTGAGCGCGACTCAAACCGGCCAGTTCTCGATCGGCGGTTTTCGGACGGAAAGAAACCAAATTTCGAGCCGAAAATTCTCTTCTGGGTATAGTTGGGCTCTCATATGTCTCGAACAACTAAAAACCTCGGCGAGCATCAATACCCTGTCAGTGTCCCTTTAAAATCTCTTACGACGAGAGAGCACACTGAGGGCTCGGCTGTGATAAACTAATACCCCTGTTACACGGGCACACTTAACCGCGGTTAACTCAGCTTTAACTGCGGTTACGTGGCAGCGCAGATGCCGCACTATACCCTCGGACAGCTATTTCAAAAGAAGTGAAGAGAGCGCGTGCACAGCTTTGGTGGGTGCTCAAGATGCTCAAGCGCACGTTCGCCCATAGCTCTGACTGCATCGCCGCAGAATGTTGTCGGCAAGTACTGTGCGCTAATTGTGGTTTATCGTAACTGCAGTTAAGTGTGCCCGTGTAATACCCCTGTTATACCCCTGTTACACGGGCACACTTAACCGCGGTTAACTCAGCTTTAACTGCGGTTACGTGGCAGCACAGATGCCTTACTATACCCTCGGACAGCTATTTCAAAAGAAGTGAAGAGAGCGCGTGCACTGCTTTGATGGGTGCTCAAGATGCTCAAGCGCACGTTCGTCCATAGCTTCGACTGCATCGCCGCAGAATGTTGTCGGCAAGTATTGTGCGCTAATTGTGGTTTAGCGTAACTGCAGTTAAGTGTGCCCGTGTAACAAGGGTATTACACGGGCACAGTTAACCGCGGTTAACTCAGCTTTAACTGCGGTTACGTGGCAGCACAGGTGCCGCACTATACCCTCGGAAAGCTATTTCAAAAGAAGTGAAGAGAGCGCGTGCACTGCTTTGGTGGGTGCTCAAGATGCTCAAGCGCACGTTCGCCCATAGCTCTGACTGCATCGCCGCAGAATGTTGTCGGCAAGTATTGTGCGCTAATTGCGGTTTAGCGTAACTGCAGTTAAGTGTGCTCGTGTAACAGGGGTATAACAAGGGTATAACTCGGCGGCGAGGTTCTTTTTTTCTTTGTGGCTTGTTTTTGTATTTTGCCACTGGCATTATGGACCCTTTTCAAAAGCCCATTCGGGTCTTTGCCGAACGCTGACGCGGCACTTGTTTTCGATACGTGCTTAGCTGAGTGAAGGCCGACCACCGTGTCCAATACATGCTCAGAGTAGACGGACACGCCATGGCGCGTGCTTTCGAAGAGGGTCTATACTCCGACTACGAAGAAGGCTTTTCTGTCCGTGCATCCTTGTACCTTCCCCTCGAGGGGTTCTGACACTAGGCGAGGAAGTCGGCGCGATCACCGACCGCCGCGATTGGCCAGCGTCGCGCCCGTGACTTTAAGCTACGTTCGTATACTTCAACGTAACGTCGACGGGCGCGGCGTAGCGTAGCGCACACTGATACTGAATGGTCGCAGATATCGAGTTTCTGGTCGCCGGCCAATCAAAGGCGCGCGTTCTGCGCCACGCTGCGTTCACTGCGCTCGACGTCGGAGTTTAAACAGCCCTTTGGCGCTGGCCAATCGCAGCGCGGCGCTGGCCAACCCTTCGGTTTAGAGCTACCTACAGGAGCCAGAGTTGCGCGTTCATCTCCGTAGCGCCGTCTTTCCTACAAGGCTTGTTATCCCACTCGTCACGTGACTGAATTCGGCGAATAGCGGCGCCGCGCGTTCGAGGTGCGCGGCGCGCTCAAAAGCAGGGGAACGTACGCCGGGGCGCGTGTAACGTCTACTTTCCTGCACGGCACTTAATCCGGCTCCTCACGTGATCGAATCTCGGCGAATAGCGGCGCGGCGGCACGTGGAAAACAGACGCTCAACTCTGGTAGGGAGGCTCAAGTGAGGGTGGGTGCAACTGCTAGATCGGCAATCACGGGACATGGACGCCATTTAATTGCTAAATTTTGCTGGGAGTCTATGGGGCAAAGGGTCGTTTTCTTTCCTAACTCGGGTCATAAAAGCCCATTAAGGTGCTTAAATAATTTACACAAGGTATAAATGATTACGTTTCCATAGCCACCAGTTTTGTTGCGATAGGTTAAGTATTTTTTTAATGCGAAAAATGGTAAATTTCGCCATCTTGGACGTTGCTGCTTGTCTGGCAACTTTGCTTTCTCCGCTCGACGTTTGCAATTCTCAGAGCGAGAAGGAAGCGAGAGAGGCTGCGCCAAGG